GCCTCTAATCACGACTGCTTTGGGTATCAATTGCCACGAGCCTTTTCCGTGACATTCAAGGCCGCGAATGACATATGGTTGCTCCGGCCACCTATAGGTGTCGAATCTGAACACAGGAAGATTAACGAACTTACTCATGTCACATGCTTAGTTACGCTCTGGTCACTATGCCACCCAGCACCTACTTCCAGAGCCCTCGGAAGAAGCAGAAATGTCTTTAGCTTTTGCCCCAAGTATGTACCAAAAGATTATCTTGAGCAGTGAAGATGGAGGAGAAGTATTGGGGTCTGATGCAGCAGCATTGGAAACAAGTGAATAGCGATTTATTGGTAGGAAAGGCTGTTGGTCACTGTTTGAGGATTTTTGCTACCACATTTTCTATGCACTCATCACAGGGAAGGCATACAAGGTAGGGAGGTCTGGGAGGATGTGGTCAATTTAAGGGTTAATTGTATTATATCTAAGTTTTGTTGCTAATTTTGATTCCCAAATGTTAGTGATTCAGATAATGCCTCTCCTCCCAATAATTATAATTTAGTTTGGTAATACTTTCCAATGCTTGTGCACCTAAAGCCCCTACCTTATTGCCTTTTCTTTGAGGGGTAGAGTTGTAATCAATATCCACTCCGATTTTCCTACTGCTACTATTTTGCTTGTTGGTAATACAGTGGTAGTGCAAATGTCTCCCAATACACAGGGCAAGTGTGAGAAGGGTATTACCCAGTGTAATCCTACCAAACATCACAGGTTTTACCTCCATATTTTCCAATTTCCTCATGTACTAACACAAGACAGCTTTTTTTGATAACAAAGGAAGAAAGAAAGAACCAGTCACCTGATTGGCTAGTAATCTGATAAATGGTGAAATGAAAAATAAAAAAGACATGCTTCCAGCAACCATTTCATGCACACGAACACTTTCCAGCAAATGTTATATGCCATAAGGTGAACAAACCTAACATACCTATTTAAATAAAATAAAATACATCAATTGAGGTTAGTAAGGTTACATTGGTTCATCTTCCCTCATAAATTATATACAGGTGTTGACCATTAAATGATGGGGTTAGGGACTTGTGTCGTCATATTTCAGAATATTGCGCGTTATTGCACGTCACTTCTTCTTAGTAGTGACAATGCAGGAAAAGCATTCGGGTAGTGACCGTCATAAATCTGATCTTAGTTTTCGGATAGCAGTGTTTGGTGTTAATTTCTTATCATAAAACTGATCTATCATATATCAGTCAATCATACAACAATCAACACCTGTACGTGTAAAGTATCCATTGCTAGCGGTGTTCTTGTCAATCGAATGGTCACTGGGAAGCTTCTATTTATAAACACCATATTAAACACTAAATCAATTTTCCTGACCACTGATGGTGTGGAAGCTACAGGCTTCTTATTGTTTCATAGGAGTACAATGATAATCTTGAATAACTGTATATTTAGGAAAGAGTGGCATGATTTGAATCTTATTTTTTACCATATTTGGGTCCCAAAATCAGAAACAGAATGAAATACAACATTATTAAATGTCAATTTTGGCCTCGAGGAATCCATAATTACATTCTTTCATATGTGTGACACTGCTCAGCAGGTACTGTACTCACATACATATGCAGAGAATTTTTTAAACTGAAAAGATGTGAAGACATTGGTTGAGCAGTAATCTGTATCCAGTACTGTACTAGACCGGGGTCCGGACAAAATCCCCTTAGGTTAGGTTAGGTTTAGTTTGTCGAGGTTTTGTCCTTGGTGGTTTTTGTCTTACCCTCGTACTAGACTCTCATCCGTTGAGCCTGTAGCTTGGAGAAAACGCAAGAATGTTGTGGTCTTATGAGGAACTTTTTACATTTTTTTATAGATTTCAAACATTTTATTGTAATGAATTTTTCCAAAACAATAAACACTACATGTAACAGATATTTTGGTTTTCTTGGTTCTCCATAGAATTAGATTGGTTAGTGCTAGTGCACAAACTTTCTAACAGTAACAGCCTAGACCACCAAGACTGAAACTGAGACCAACTATCTGAGGTCAGGACCTATCATCCTGGACTTAGACACTTACAAGTTAAACGAGATTGAGGCCCAGACCAAGACCAATCGCAATTTTAGCATTTTTTTCCTGTACATAAACTGATGATTAATCACCCTCACACTACTTGGGGAGGTTATGTTATCTACAGGTCATACACTACCTGAAGAGTTATGTTATCTACAGGTCATACACTACCTGAAGAGTTATGTTATCTACAGGTCATACATTACCTGAAGAGTTCTGTTATCTACAGGTAATACACTACCTGAAGAGTTCTGTTATCTACAGGTCATACACTACCTGAAGAGTTCTGTTCTCTACAGGTCATACACTACCTGAAGAGTTCTGTTATCTACAGGTCATACACTACCTGAAGAGTTATGTTATCTACAGGTCATACACTACCTGAAGAGTTATGTTATCTACAGGTCATACACTACCTGAAGAGTTATGTTATCTACAGGTCATACACTACCTGAAGAGTTATGTTATCTACAGGTCATACACTACCTGAAGAGTTATGTTATCTACAGGTAATACACTACCAGAAGAGTTATGTTATCTACAGGTCATACACTACCTGAAGAGTTATGTTCTCTACAGGTCATACACTACCTGAAGAGTTATGTTCTCTACAGGTCATACACTACCTGAAGAGTTATGTTCTCTACAGGTCATACACTGCCTGAAGAGTTATGTTCTCTACAGGTCATACACTACCTGAAGAGTTATGTTATCTACAGATATTCAGTAATGTTGATAAGATTTTCTATTCAGTTTGCTAATTATTCAGTGAAAAGGAAAAATTGTCGAACCATTTAGAGAATGGTTGCTTACTGTGACTTTTAGCACTGCACATCTGAATTAGTTCATTATCATGATACAGTAGAAGTCCAAAAATCCGGACTGCTTGGGGATTGGGTCGGTCCGGATTTTCGGATTTTCCGGATTCTCAGGCAGTACTTTTAAAATTCAAATTTAATGAAGAATAAAGAAGAAATGAACAGGTACATTTTGATAGTTTATTCATTTGCAAATATAGCATGCTTCATTTATCAAAACGAGCAGTTTTAATGAAAAAGCTGTGAATTCTAAATTTTATTCTTTGCCTTTTATATATCATAAATTGTAGACTTAACAATGTCGTATGTTTCCATTAGAACAGTATTCACACCACGTTCTTAGTTCTTAATTATTTCAAGTTTGTCACTCAATTTCAATGTGTTCTTCTTTCTCTTCACAAGCGAAGTTTATCTACTTTAGGAGCCATTATTATGGGCTTGCAGTACTCTGTAAATGGAAAGAGTAGGACTCAAAATATTGTTATATTACAATGGTATTCTATTCATACTGTGCTTGATATAATGCATTCACGGAAATGTAATTTTTTGCTGAGCGTCGTATTACAGTAAGTGGGATAAAATAGTAAAAACAATGACTTTAGCTTTCTTTGGTTAAAAGATGTTACCTGTCGCTTTTGAATGGTTTTCAGTTCGAAAACTGTTGTATTACAATAATATTCTATCCTATTGACTTGAATAAATACTACGATACCATATTTCTGAATATTTTCATTAAAATCCATCAAAATCATTTTCCTTGTCATCGTCTGCAGCACCAAACAGCTTCTCCCATCTCTTTGAACAGGGCTAGAGGCAGTGTGTTTTTTCGAATCGTTTTCAGTTAAAAACTGCTTTAATCACTCCGTCTATTTTACCTAAACTGCACCTGAATGAATATATTCTCGGAGATAAATAGTAGTTTTGTGGAAACGTGGCGTATTTCAATGTAAAATAGGATAAAATACATAGCGAAAACAAAAGACTTTACCTAAGCTTCCGATGTTCTTGAGATGTTACTCGTTTTTTAATAGTTTTCAGTTCAAATTCTGATATATTACAATGATATTCTATTCATACTGTGCTTGATATAATACATTCACGGAAATGTAATATTTTTCCTGAAATTACATAATGTATTACAGTGGAAAGTGGGATAAAATCATGAGCGAAAACAATGACTTTTCGCTTTCTTTTCGTTCAAAAGATGTTACCGTAATAGCTTCGAATGGTTTAGTTTAAAACTGTTGTATTAATAATATTCCTCTAATTGACTTGAATAAATACTTAAATGGAAACATACAATATTTTTGTTGAAACTACCGGCGTTTCAGGTGTAAGAGTCTGTAATAATAAATGGTAAACAATTTGCCTTCAGCACTTGTGTTTCATGCAGCGAGCCTCAGTTTATAGGGCGTAGAGTGTTTTTAGTGGTTTTGTTGTTCCATTACCCTCAAAACGTGGGTGGAACTATAAACGAGGAATATCAAATTAACGATTTCTTGGTCAAAAATCAGGGTCGACTGATAACGAGGAGGGTTATAGGCGAGTATATACGGTATGTTGTCACAGTTTGATTGCCCATTTTAAAGTGGCGACAACGTGGTCGCTTGATAATCGCTGTGCAGCTGTGGCGCTCACGCATGCGCACATGCACACAAATGCGCTAAAAAAAAATCGTTTTTGAAAAGTCCGGATTTCTGGCATCCGGATTTTTGGACTTTTACTGGATTAGGATTAAATTAAATTTTTGTCTCTTGCAAAATTGAATATAGATTGTCATCATTTTGTCTGTTTCAAACCTTTAACTTGTAAAGATTCTTGAAAGTGATACATGAGAAAGCTACATGAAGGTCGCTACCTGGCATTTAATTGCAATTCTGGAACCCTCCCTCACCCCCCCACCATACGCACTACCCGTCATCTCATATTAAATCACAATAAGGTGTTTTGATATTAAGTCAATTTGAGAGTCATTTTCTGAGCTTAATATAAATCTTAGTACACTATCACTGTATTCACAATCTTTGTTAATGCTCATAAGAAATTAGTATATGATAAGAATTTATGAAAGCTTTTGAATGAAAAAAATAATAATTTCGTGTTTTTGATCCATAGGTGGAGAAACTACCCTTCAAGGTAAACATATTGTAGTCTAGTTACAGTGATATGTTTGTGACCCATTAAGCATGGATAGTTGAGATTTGACTAATGTAGTAAATTGATGTACAGGGTACTGCCTTTTATGACCATATTGTTTAATGCTGTAATGTTTTAGACTATGGTAGTTTCGTAATTGTGCATTTTTATGTGTATATTTTTCTTTGGATACTTTTATGCATGTTGTAAAAGTTTGTATTTGTTTCTCATTCTGTATGTTTGTTTATGAATATGGATTCCATGATAACAGAATGTTGTGTAAAACTGCTTTAAGCGTTCATTATAATGTTCTAATAGAGCTGGGTTCCAAGCAGTTCCATTTCCTGCATATTAGTGCTGAATGCCAAGAGTACAACATAACTCTAGATTGCTAGTAAGACCGGAAGGTCAGCGTCCGGAAGGATCACCAAGACTAGCAGCTCGGTAAAGTTCGCCTGGATAGGCTAAACCCGCTACTGAGGACATTAATAAAATAGAGCTATGAAGACTTAACTCTGGCCTGCATGCTGAGAGTAATCAGAAAACCCAGGGTGGAAGCCCGAAAAGTTTTTTCAAAAGAAAATGAGAAGAGGGAGAGGGATGGCCACATATAATTTGGACAAAGAAATTTTTTTTATACAGTATACATATCTATACATACATTCTTTCAGTGAAAACGAGCCCAGAAGGGCATAAAACAACGTCATTCACAAAGTGACTTGAAAGCAGAGGAAATTAGTCACTAAAGATCGACTGTCTTCCTAGAGATAAAAGATGAGCTGTGGTCGACATGCTTGACCAGACCGTATAAAAAAATTGCCCCAAACACAATACAGTATCTGAGAGACATAATCAAAATAAAAGTCAATCGATTTCCTGACTATGCTAAGATGTATAAATACCAAAAATAAAATCCTCGTGGCACATAATATTTCAGCTATTACAACACAAATTAGCGGAGCTTTCCTTGCGCGTATTTACAGCTGATTCGCCAGGCAAGAAGATGACGGTAGCAATGTGTGTGATGGAGGGTGCGGGAGGGGGTTTTGAGAATTGCAATTAAATGCCAGGTAGTGACATGTCCTCCTAATATTACATATTTAAGTAATTATTAGATGTTATAATTGCTTGCATGTTGGCCTGGCGAGTGTAACTAGGCATTTACATACCTAGGTATTAAGCTAGACATCGCTTTCTGGATTGAACAAAAATTAGTGGTTCCCAATTAGGGTGAAATTATCCCCAAAGTGGTAATTTGACATTTTTGAGGGTAACGATAGCCCAGGAGATATAGCCAGATTATTCCTGCTTCTTAACTAGGGTGCCGCTGGCAATACCCCCCACGTGGGGTAAATCAATAAAAATCAACTTTTCCAAAAATGATTTTTATTCGTTTTAAATGATAAAACAATAAAAAAATATATATATACAGTTGGGGTCTTCATTTATGCGGTCAGTTGAACCCGTGAACTTCATAAACGAAAGCAGCGTAATTGAAATAACAGAACATATGGGATTAATTGAAATAGAGACTGGGCCGACTCCCAAAACTCCACTTTTTCCGACACAAAGCGTCCTTGTAGTCAAAATAACATCTTAATTTTATGATGGTATGCACACAATTAATAATTAAGAGAAATATCAATAATATTAGGGTTTTTAACACTTACATTAGTAGAAAAGATGGCTGGGCACACGGGGATGGGGGGTTGGTTCCGAGGCAGAGGGCAGATTATTGGCCCTCACCTGTATCACTTGTATCAATTTTATCACTATCCACCACAGAGGTTGCAGGGCCTCTTTGTCAAACCCCTCAAAGTCCATATCCTCACTATCACTATCACTGACTTGGGCTGGCTGTGGTGGGTGAAGAACTCGGTAATGTTTTGATGACTTGTGGACTTTGTAGCACCCTGCCCGCGCCGCTTCCCGCGTAAATGACCAAATTTGGCGTAAATCAACCATTGCAATTCTGGCAAGGCACCGCGTAAATGACAAAACGTGACCAAAACCGCATAAATCCAGACTCGACTGTATATATATATTGACCCTCTAGAAACTTCTCTGGGGCTGCAATGCTGAGGGAGATTAGTCTCGTGGTCACTACGCACTTAGCGGCCGTTTTCTGCATGCCTTTGTGTTTGGGATGGCCAGTAATGCATACTGTATATTTACTGATCATAATACTTATTTCATATAAATAATTCATAAAAAGTGCTCGGCTACACACACGCAGTCTGTCAGGCTGTCTTTGTGTTTGGGAGAGCAAGTAATGCATATAAATAATTATCGGAATAATAATTCCACAAATAAATACATTTATAACATAATTATAGCATTATTTTCCAGTAATATTACACTACAACACAACTACTGTACACTACTTTTAGCGTGAGAGGTTGAGAGACAACTCTCTAGCAACGGGCTAATGCATACTAACCGCAGCTACCCTGCATGTGACGTGACCACCAAATAGTCATGCTGGAACCTTATAACCCGCGCTGGGCATTCAAACAATGGCGCTGAAAGCTCGTTCCGGAACGTCAACCGGGTGCCCTAGATGGACATTCCGGAATGTCAACCGGGATGTTGGGGTTAATTCCATACACAACCACTGGTCATTCATGTGTCGGACATGTCCTGGACACAGCAGGGTTGGTACCTCTTGCCTAACTCCTCCCGCGCGGAACCGCATCTGGTTCATGTGCTGAACACTACACCAAAAATAGTATAGAAATAAACAGTTGACAAACTTTCAGTCGGGGTAATGAGTTTTGCTGTCAGATTTGTTTTGGGGTATGAGTAAAACTAATTGGGAACTACTGTACAGTACAGTTAAATGAAGGTAGTGTTGGGTGGAAGGACCACCATTTCCACTAACACTGAAGTGCGTAGAGCACGAGTTCCCAAGTATTTTCCAGTGCACTCCCATCTAGTGATGTTGTGTATCCAGTGCGACCCCAAGTCATTATAATTAATCTTTTCCTTGGATTCTAATTGTCGTACAGTGCTATTGTTATGTACCTTTGCATTTTGAAAAAGTCCTTTCATGGTTTTGGTAAACAGACGTCCTTTGTAATACAGAAGTAGAAAACATGAAATGTATTTACCGTAATGATAAGTTTTGCTATCCTTTAATGTATGTTTTGTCATAAAATGTTAATAAATTGAGATTGTTGAATAATAAATTTTAAAGAAATATAGTACAGTACTTGTACATGGTGTCTGTATTTCAAATTAATCTTGAATAATTTATAAATGACATTATAAGTTGAGCTGATTCTCCTTCAGTAATAATTTATCTTCATAAAGAAATTTAGAATATTGTTAGGTCAGGCTACATGCTGATCCAACCTGGATCATTATCAAGTATTTGTTATGGCTACAGAGGACCTTAGTGGTGAGAATGCAGTGTCTGCTGGCAGGAAGTTGGATGACCTCATTCACCTGGCTGAGTTGTGTGTTGACCTCTTGCAGCAGAATGAGGAACACCATGCAGAGGTAGGTTGTGATCCCTCCATACATACCTCATATGACTCATTCACTATGACAAATATGAGTTGCCTCATTTTTGGTGTTTAAATTTCTGTGAGAATAGGATTGAAGTTTAAAACAGATGAATTATATTCTTCAGTATGTTTATGATGAAGTGTAGTGTGTAAAGCATTTTTTATTTTTTTGGATATTTCCATTTTTAAGATTTTTTGTTTACGATACCAATGATATGAATATGAAAGTATCATTAATGTTAAGTAATTATTCTTTTATAAACTATTGGCATTAGACATATTTTGAAGAAAAAATAAATTAAGGCATGATAAACTCAGTCTTTAACATAAATTTCTGTTTATAGATTAAATCATTAATCATTGCTTCTTCAGACACAAGTATATGATAACCATTGATGTCTGATTCCTGTTCATTTTAACTGATAATGTATGCTCTTAACCTAGTGCAAATTTTGATTTGATAAAGTTATTATAAAAATTTAATGCCCTGGATTAACTTGACTTATTATTAGCATATTAAGTCTTTATTTCAATTTTATTTGGTTCTTACAAATCTAAGGATGAATTTCATCTCATTTAGGAACTTGTCACTTAATGACTAGTAGAATGCACAGCAACCATCTATATGAGAATTATAAAAAAGCTGAGACCCCAAGTTTGTCTCCACTAAAAAGTTAACTTTGATGCCAGGTTATGTTGTTTCTGTGGTTAAATGTTTCAGACATTTTTACAGAAAAGTAAGCTATTAATTCCTCATCTGGCTGTGGACAGAGTTATGCACATAGCATTATTTGTTGAGTATATTTGCTCAATTAGTTACAAAGATTGTAAGGTCTGTAGGGCATTAATTTTGCCTGAGGATTGCTATTTTATTCTGCATGAAAACTGCATAGAATATTAAAATCTCGGGATGTAGATCTCTATTGGGCGATACAAACTGAAAACCTATGTACTACAGGTATCAGAAATTAAAAAAAAAAAAAAAAAAAATTTGTAACCAGCCACAATTTTCAATGACTACTGACAGCTAGATAGTCCTTGATAATAATTAGTTTCTTCTTCTACTGTTGCCAGTGATTTATTGGGTTTTGTGTAGGACACTTATCATATTATTCTTATCCTTATTTTAATCTCACTTCTTTTTAATCATGTCATTTATGCAGGCTAGAAAAGATGTTCTTTATGTGAGAGCTCTTTTCTGTTTTAAAAGAAGTATCTTTTCGATGCAAGGGAATCATTATTAAGTTTTGAGGATTGTTTCTTTTATTCTAGAGTACTGTAGTCACATTGACAGCTCAGCAGCAACTGTATGTCCTTATTGGACAAAAACACTCACACATATATTCTCAGAAGTCTCTCAATTAACAGTACATTATTTTTATTCTGGCTATATTCGTATGTCTCTAGTTCGACTGAAGGTATGTTGACCTGAATGTTATCTAGAAGTTGTGTCGAGCTCAGTTTTGGATAACGTTTACAGCCATGTACCTGTGCATATGTATGTTATGTGTATTCATGTGTACTAATGTTTCAATGTACTCCTCCTCTGCTCTCTCTCTGGTTTGTAGGCTTTCAGATCGGTGAGTGTTTAGTAGGCAGTGGTATTAATTATTTAGCACAGTGGTGGATTCACTTCAAGGTTCCTTTAATGTCTTTGTTGTGCACTTAAAAGCCATTTCATTCAATTCATCCAGATATTGATTTTGATATATTTCATATACACTCGTTGAACCACCCAAGTGCAAATATTATTTATTTTTTGGTTTCTTTATTTATATATTATTTTTTGTTTTTATTTGCTTGCTTAAAAGCACTGAAGTAAACTACATTTTTTCTAAGGCTTAAAGATTTTTATCTAATAAAGCTAGCACTATGCTTTCTGTGTTGCACTTATTTTTGTAGACTGGTTTAAGGGTTAACTTTTAATTCTCAGTTATGTAATTAAGCTAATATACTTTAAAAACTTAAATTATTCCTTTTATTTGCTTGCAATTTTTTGCAATTTTGGCACGAAATGTTTTCATAGATTTTGTTTACTACATTAATTATTAAAATAGTTGCTTATGTTAAATAGATCTTTTAATCTTTCTGATTTAATATCAATCAGGAAGATGCACAGATGCACTCTCAATAGAGTAAATTTTCATAGTGTGTAGACAACTATTGTTCAGTATATAGTATCATTTTAAGTACTCTAATATTTAGAAGAAAATAAATCCTAAGATAATATTATATCACAGTACTCATTAAAATCACTTTCAGTTACCCAAACAAGGAAGCTGTTAATTAAGTAATGATCTTTTTAATTTTTAAGCAATGTCATTGATAACTTATGGAGGCTTCAACACATTTTTTTTTATATATAGCAAAATTTTGTACATATTTATGATGCACTTTGCATATTCTTTTAATTTCTGTGCATTACTGATAATGCTTATAGGATTTGATATATTATTACAGTATATGTGATTGCCAATGTAGAATATATTGTAGAAAATAATGCAGTATATAAGACAATTCCCTTTTACCAAAAGTTAGTAAATGAATTAATTTACTTATTATATTAAACAAAGATACAATTTGAATCATTATTTGATCTCATTAATATCAGTGTGAGAGCAAGTGTCTTGTGTTGGGCTTCCGTGCATTGTCTTGAGGTGAGCATCAGTAAATCTATGTGCCTCAGTTCTAGCTTCCTCTTCGTGCCTTCTAACATGTGTCTCTCTCCTCTCTCTTTTGTGTGTTCACAGGATAAAGTAAGTAAATGTTTGGCTTCTGTCTGGTTTTTTTATGTAGCTTTCTTGGACTGCATGATTAAGCTGGAATGCACTATTTTCTGTCGTTGTGATATTTTCTAAAGATGTGAATAAAATGCCATTCTAGCGAGTATATCGGACAAACACCTGGATGACAGATGCATGCTGGTAGTCAGCTGGCATCATCAAAAACACCATGGCTTATCAACGTATAGTGTTCTGTGGAAAAAAAAAAAATTATAACCTAACAAAAAACATGAATTTATAACCTAAAGCCTGGCTCAGGGAACTGTTGTACTGTATTACCAGTCATAGTCTATGGGTTGTAAACTACCATCTCTTGATAATGGTGATGGAACTAATTGACTAGTTCAAACCTTCCCATCACAACCCTAAACCTTACAAAATGGGTCATCAAGATGTCAGCTGCCATTTAAGTCTAAAGGGTAATGATGCTTGCTGCCACACTACTTGTGTGCCCCACAACCCACATTGGCTTGGTTAAAAACTGCTATTTCATCAGGTCAACCCTCAGTTCCAGGTACAGTACTTGTGCAAACCTAACGAGTGTCTTCCTGATCACTTTCATCTCGGTTAAGAATTAAGTGCAACCCCTCATCCCTTTAACCCTTAAAGGGTGGCGGACATCATATGTTGTTTGAGAGGAAAACGCATAAAGGGCGGCAGACATCATATGATGTTTAGGTTTTCTGTGCCGTTGTTTGGGTGCACTCATGATTGTGGTGTTGTCTGGTTACTATGACGACACTGGCGGCTCGTTCCAGAGCTGGATAAACATGTACTCCCAGTTCAGCTTGCGATTTCCCCAAGAAATTATTGTTTCTTGTATTTATTGACTAAATGTGAATTTGTATAAAAAAGATTGAACTTTCAAATGATGCAAAAAAAAAATCTCAATTAGGGCACATTGTACGTGCATTTGAACAACATAATCTCAAGCGATTTGCTCCATTTTCTATGTAGTGAAATATAACCCATGCTGGGCTTGACAGCACATAAATATACCCGCCCTTTAAGGGTTAAGCACTTTGTGCAAGATTTAGATATAGTAGTCACACAATCCTAAGTATTAGTATTAGCCAGAGATGCTGTATTATCATGTTAGAAGAGTTTTTGCAATTGTCTAGTGACTCAGTTTGAGTTGAGCTGGCATGTTGGCATGTAGGACCACACAATCCAGCACCAAGTCACCCAATCCAGGGATATTCCTACTTAACAGTGTGTATCTCAGCCCTAATCATTTCATATGAGGTTGTCATTTCTAAGCCCAGCAGGGGATACTGTACTCTGGTGTGGTCCAAAATAAAAAAAATAATATTCCATTTGGATGTTGGTACACTGGCTGCCTTGGTAGGAATCAAGACTTCATTTATATTCTATTTTGTGAGGTAATCATTTACTGTTTAGTGTTTTATATGAAGAAACAGAGGAACTTTTCAGGGGGCCTGGCAGCTGACTGATGCTGGATTGGGTCATTCAGTGAAAGTCATTGGGCTTGTTATCTTGTTACCTATTAAGTCTGAGTTATAGTTCTTCATTTACAGTGCCACTCTCATGCACAGCAGGCTTACTCTAAGGCACCACTATTACAGATAATGCACTTAGGATCACTAGGGTCATATTGCCTGTTTTCTTTGCAGGGGAATCATTTCTTTTTCCTTGAGGGGAGTAAAGTTCGCATCTGGACCACGTCCTCCTCACTCAGTAACCCGTTTATGCTAAAATACGATTATGATACTTCATGACAATATAGGGATATAATTATATATCAGAAACTAGCTCAAAACTTATTAAATTATTTTTATCATTTATAGTTTGCAACAGTTTTTATCGTGTATATGAAGATTAATGCGGACATATTTGGAAGCCTTCCCTTGGGAAGCTTGGGGGGGGGGTGCAACCCCCCCACCCATGCCACCCATTTCTTCGCCCTCATGATTGTGTGACATTGCATAATTCACTACATTATGAGTAAGAGTGGACATCTTGAGCAGGATATACATTTCTGCTGATGTGGAATTTGATCGTTAAGATTATGACTAAACTACATATTTTTCATATAATTCAATTGGGTAAGACCTATGTCACCCCAGGGCATAAGTCAGCTCTCCACATTACTGTGTCAAGGGTAGGGATCTGAGTTTGTTGTTGTTTGAATTGCTTTGCCCTTAATGCATGCCATAACTTGTCTTCATCTGCCCATGGAGTGTTGCTATTTGGAGGGGTGACAAGCCTGTCTGTTGGTACTTTTTAAGCTAGTTCCCAACCAAGGTGTTCTGAGGTTTGCCACTTGTGACTGTTTCCTTCCAGCAGATATTGCTGTGGGGAAGGTTGTGCTTAGGATAAGGTTGTAGAAGTATGTTGAAGAGATCGGAAACATTCTTACCTTCATTTGCCCTAAGAGAGGCATTATGAAACTCTTTGAAGTAATTACTCATTTTGTGGAAGATTGTTTTGAAACTATATACATGATAAACTCCAGGGTATCATGGAAAGAGTGTTAGATTCAGGCACTGGTATGATCAGATCCTCTCTCCTCCAGCCATTCAGTTGACATATGGAGGGGGATCTTGGTAGGATTATATGCCCTAGGGTCTTACTTTCCTGTGGTCTGAATCTCACTCTATGAAGAATTTTTTTGCAATGAGCTATATTTACAGGTACTGTATATTGTGCAGGTTTGAAATTTTCAGGGTAGAGTTCCAGTGTATGAGTTAATTAGCTTCTGGTATTTCCATTCGAGCCTTTGCTTGTACAATGCCCTTGGGAGAGTTCTTTTAGCTATACGTATACAGTATATTTGCTCCTCTTACTTGCCGTTCACAGCAGACTGGATTAATCTTCCTTTACTGCTCCCTATGTGTGTTTACTGACTGGGTGATCTGTTCACCTATTTTTCAAAACACTTGTGTTATTTAACAATTCTGGTCAAGTGTTATTTAACAACAACAACCCTGGCAAGGTGTTACTTAACAACAATAACAACCCTGGTAAAGTGTTATTTAACAACAGCCTATCCCGGTAATGAAAATTAATTATGTCCCCAGGAATCATAGGAGTGGAGAGGGAGGGAGGTGCAGCGTCAGGGTGGTGGTGGGGGGGTAGTAGTGGTGGTGGTGGTGGTGGGAGCTTTGTCATTTTTATTTTTCAACTCATAATTTTGAGTTGATATATATATCTTTATTTATTTTCTTTTACTATGTTACATGCATACACAATTTTTCATACAGAATATGCAGAAAAAAAAGATTATCATAGGGTCAAAAACATAAAGATAGTAAAAAAAAAATTATGTCCATGGGGGTAAGTGTGCCATTTGTGACAGAGACAGAGGGGAGGAGTGAAGAGAGGCATAAGGGATCTCTCGGCTGTTCTCTGTCTCATGTCCCATGAAGTAATTGCCAAATGCCATCACAGTAATTTTTCTTTTATTTGATTTATAATTATTTTATTTATTCCTCACATTTACTGGTACAGTATACACGTGATACAGATAAGCCAGGCAGTCACCAAGCTGAAGAAACTTGTAGCTGTTTCTTATATGCCGTGACATCATATAGGGGGAGGGAGAGTGCGGCTGGTTACAGTTACATCTCACTGCCTCAATACTGTACACAAATTCACTTCCCACATGTACACCACCATGCTCTTCATTTTTAATATTTTGTAGTTTTATATTATATTTTATTTATTTCTAAGCTACCTTAGAGTATTGTAATGATATGCACTTGAAGCACAGAATCTCCAGTTTTTCTGACTTTTCTCACAAATTTTTCCCAGTACTGTAAGTCGAACATTGCTAAACCAAATTTTGACCAATTGTTAAACAAAAAAGGTGTTAAGAATTGTATATCGCCAAGTGAATGAATGTCAAATGAAGGATACCTATATAACCTATATATAGACAGAAGTGTTAATGTCAGTGAGACATTCGCCTTACAGTCGCTTATGTAAACAACTGATATTTGCAGCTGGAGATAGCCAATTGACTTTGGTTCATGTTCAAGATGGAATAAAAAAATGGGAAAGCAAAATTAGGAACATAGTAATTCCTGGAACCTTTTTTGATGTTTGAGAGGTAAGAAACAAATTTTCAGAATTTTCGTTTTTCCTAACGATTCTCCTCACTAGTCAATCATCTAGACTAATACGGAGCTAAAACTCATGTGGCAGTGCATTGTGTAGATTGTTAACTATGGTACTTAACACAGATATGGTTATACTGTACAGTAAAATTATTTATTAAGAAGTAACCGTGATGCATGTTATGCAGCTTAATAGTTTTATGCTAGTATTTCTTAACTATAACTAGAAATACTTTTGTATATGAAGTGTAATTAACTTTGATTATTAAAATTTAAATAAAGGACTTAGAAAGTGTTGTAGATACTCAAGTACTATTGCAGAAAATAATTTGTTTTTAAACATTCTAAAAAACTTCCTTGATCTGCCCCTGATTAAACAACTTGCTCACTATTTACACACCTATGTTGTCTGAGGCTTTCAGCATTTTTGCAACTATTCCCGAGCTTCCAGCTGCCTTTTCATTAATTATGTCAGTTGCTTTCTTCACCCATTCTCTTTCAATCCTTGGTCATGGTCCCTGCACTGGCTTTACTGCTCCTAGGCTGACCCTTTTCCATTTGTTCTCCTCTTTCAGTCGTCGACTTTAGTATTTTCTCCAGGCATCCTTGATTTCCTCATTATCAATAACCATATTACCATAGTCATTTCACAAGAACTCTTTACGAACAATGCCCATGTGTCTACCCATTAGTTGCACTGCTATTCTGAGTACCTTGTCTCTTGTATCTGTACAGGTACTGTTCAGCGTATCTATGAATGTGTCCTGTTCATGCTTTTTAGCCCTGTAAATCTCTCTTCTATCCCTGCACTTGGCTTCCAGGTACTCCTCCTTGTCACCACCCATCTTCCAGACCTCAAACAACCTTTTCTCCTTTATCTTTCAGTCCACGTCATCATTCCACCACCATATTACTGCTTGCCTGGCTGGGCCTTTTGTCCATCCACACATATTGTCAGCTGCACTTAGCAAAACATCCTTTATTTTGGCCCAGCTTCTCAATACACTACCCCTCACGCTGCAGGCTGATTCCAATATTCTTAAGTCAACATAAAAGGCTTCTCTTATGTATTACTCCTTCAATTTCTAAACTCTCCTTCTTGGAACACATACTGTCTTTATTTCCCAGAACCTTTTAAGTAACATGTCACAAGCAGTATTATATAAGGCACATTCTTATAACCTTCACATCCCCAACAAACTTCCTATCTGATTTCCAAACAAGTGTCCAACATTATAATTTTATTAATGCACTTCAACACCTTAGGTCTTTTAGTGCATAACTAGGTTACTAATGATGCAAGTCCACAAAAAGTTAAAAATTATGAGAGATGGAACTCTCTGTGTAGGTAGTCAATCTGGATTTTTCTGCCACCTGACTCAAGTGTAATCAGCTTACTTGTCCTCTTCTTAAACAGTGTGTTGCATACAACCATAATCAGTGCACATTATCCCCAAGCTCAAGTATTCTTTCCCCTTCCTTTTCCACTACGCATTTCTTCATAATCCTCAGTGTGTACATCCCCCTTTAACCCAGCTCTGATTATATACACCATCTCATCCTTGAACATGACCTCTTCCTCATCTAGCCCACTCTGCGCCTCACGAGAGATAATTCTACGTAATGATTCATAGCAAGCTTGATATTTGAGATAAAAAGGTGGGATTTGTTGCATTAACATTGTAAATAAATTATCTACAAACACTTTTATATAAGTTATCACGATAAAAGACATAGTTCTTTACATAAACGCGAGTAGAACACATTCTGTTTAAGCTTAATGAATATGTTTTCCATCACTTTATACCTTCGATATTTCATGTGTTGGCAATGTGAACCTAATCTTGTTATAAAGCGTACATATTTAGAATAAAATGGTTGAAGAAGAAAAGTTGTGAAAACATAAATATTTCACTCAGGAGAGGCATCAAGAGGCACTGTACTATCACCATATGGTGCAATCTCCTTGCACTTTTTACATCTTCCCACACCAGCACCCTCGCCAGCAACATGAGGCGTGGTTCAATACTCTCACAATACTGTTATGAAAATGCAAGAGAAATGTAAGTCAGCGTTATATCCTGGGTCCTTTAAACACAAAAGGGTGACTGGTGTGGTGACCTTGGAGTGTAGTCTACATAGTTGCCAGATCACGCTGACATTGCCAAATGTGCATCTTGCGTGTCTAGTATTCAGATGTAAACGTTAAATTATTTTATTTAAATTTTTAACTTCATGAGCAAATTTGCATCTGAAAACCCTAAAGCAATAATTTATATCTACACAATTCTGCGTATGAAAACCGTAAGAGTGTTAAACAGCTTGCAGCGATTGAATTACCATTACTGCGTGTGCTTAACTTCAATCTCGTGGCTGTTCATCACCTGACTACCCACCTCTACCACCCCACATCAGCTAGCCAGCACATTCATATATTTACACTAAAATTTACTAACCTTATGGCATAAATGAAATACCTGTATACAAGATGTGGCAATGAATGATTTATTGAGAAGTATATCCATCATATTCTCCTCACAGAAGAAGTTGATGCTCATGTAATTTAATATTCTCTAATTTCACCATAAAATTAATGTACACTCTTTTGCCGTTTCTTGATGAAGGGTGTGCATGATGAAGCGCTGGCAAGTCTTTTTTAGACACATGACTCATGATTTGGGGTGATGTTTAAAGAAATAATTTTCATAAATACAGGAATGTATGTAAACAACAAGCGTGTCTACACATCTAGAAGGTTCTAATTGAGTGCACATGAATTGATTTATTTATCTTAATGCAGAAATTTTGAAATAGGAAATATATTATGATTGTAGAGAACCTTTAATATTTTACTAAACACAACCATACTCTGCTATATAAATACAATTTTAGACAGATTGGAGAGAATATGTCATCACAGCATCCTTCACTTATCATTTTCTTTAATTTTAGGTAAAGTCATTTACTATACAGTGGTCTCTTGGTTAACGAGCACAATCCGTTCCAGCAGGTTGCTCGTTAACCGAAAAACTCGTTAACCGAAACCATTGTTTCAATGGGTTTTTGGGTAATTGGTTCCAGCTCACCGAAAACTGCCTAAATTCAACAAAAAAGGTAGAAAAGTACACTTATTTTGAGGTGTGTATGTAGAAGGCTCCTGGATGATGATGATGATGGGAATTAGAATGGGGGTGGAGGAGAAGGGAGAAGAGAAGGCATTGGGGTGGAAGAGAAGTCACCCCATGGCACCATTTCACCCATAAAATTTTAGTTCTCTTGGTGTAATTCAAGATTATTTTCTTTAAATCAACACTGCACTGCATTATATATTGTCAATATGTAAAAGAAATTTCAAAATGACCAATAATTTGCTTGGAAACACAGAAAAAAAGCATTTAGTTGAAGAGAGTCTCAAGCAAGATGTTACCTCCACTGAAAACGGAGAGAGACTAACGCCTGTCTGGTGTGTTAACAGGCTGGATGGCATGCCAGAAACTAGTTTCTTTACCTTCAATTATGTTCAATAATTGTTAAAATGACCAAAAACGTTAATATTAAACTTTTAATATTATTGAATAGTATAAACTTCTTGATATTTCCTAAAATAGTAAGGAATTTAAGCCCTAAAACCGATTACTGTATTGGCGGACTAATACTACAGCTGGTGGACCGCCAAATGCAAGCGAAAACATGTTGAAGTCGGCTCGTTAATCGGGGGAATGCTCGTTACCCGAAGTTAAGAATCTTATGGAAGGTAAATTGTTAACCGACATCTCATTAACCGAGGGATCACTGTATATTAAAGGAGTAGAGTTATAAGAGAGTTTTGAGGTGAAAAAATGTTTGGAGGTGTGGAGAATGCTGGCAATGCACAAGGAATGAAGTGTCAGCTCACTCAGCTGAGATGAGTCCGAAGCCTAGCTTGCTAACTGGTGCAAGTGCTAACTAACATACATAACAAAATGTGCCTATTTACTCACATTTCGTTGCTTGAACCATTTGTATAGCACTTTATCTAGGCACTATGTTCATAGACTGTCCTTGATCCATGTTTTTGCAAAATCCCCCACCCACCCTTTCTCTACGCTTAGCACTTTTCATAAACTTCTACCAGTGTTTAACTCAGTTATATCCCTTTTGTGTTTTTTGAGGAAACTGTGGAAGCAAAATTAAATCAATATTAAACAGAGAGTACTGAGCACATCTGGCAGGAGCCAAGACTCCCTGGGGCATCAGTCATACCTCAAGCATCTGTGACCGCAGCATTTGTCATATAAACAAAGGATGATGCAGTAGCTGATCAGTTGAGGATCAAATTTTTTTTAATGAAAAATTTATTTACTGGAATTTTTTTAAGAACATAACCATCTTGTAAATTGGGATATGTCTATACAAATTTTAGTTTCCCTTAAATTGGTCTTAGCTGTCATAAGTAAGTTTTGGGGTGGATTTTTTCTTAAACTGTATACTGGTACTGTATCTACAATTATAGATGGAACTTCATGGAAAAATCGCATTTTATTTACAAATTATTGTTTTACAAATGTTTTTTCAGGAACAGAGCCCTTTCTTAAATTGAGGAGTGCTTGTATACTGTACTGCACTACATCTTTGTCTTAGTTGCTAGATTTTCACAACTGGATTCCTCAATAACAAGACTACAGGGTAGTTTATCAGTTTGCTCCTAAACTTACTGTTTTTTCTTGAAAGCCAAATGTTTATATAAAAGTTCAAGAACTCCTACTACACTATATGAAAAATCTTTCATTTGTGGATATATGTACTAAATGGAAATCTTGTGAATCATGACCCCAGGTTTTTAATACTATGTAAAATTGTAACCAGTATTAGCACTTCCACTTGTATGACACAACATATAAATACAGGTAATAAATTTTACATTGCTTCGTGTTCCTTCCGTTGGTATTGAAAATGAGTAATAATTAAAAATATTGTTTATAAATACAGTATGTATAGAAATGGGTCTTCACAAGTCGAAACACTTCTATCCATATACTGTACTGTACCCTCATTCGTTCATTTTGTCATTGATATTATAGTTGAACAAGAAAAGTAGACCAATTAGTGAAAGAGAGAGAGGTGTTTGTTTCAAGTTTCACCAAAGGAATTTACATGGCAGTGTTCCTTCCTTTATAGTAATCATTTACTTGAACAGAAGTCACAAGTATACTGTACTGTGATATGGCACAGTATATTGTTACCTATCTTGATATGCCTTGTTTTAAATCACTGTTATTGGTACACATTTACATTTATGATCCCTGGTTTATTTAGTGTTTCTTTTACTCTACTAACTAAGACTAGGTCAGAGAAAAAGAGTTTTGTTTGACCTTTAAACTATAGAAGCATTTGTTATACAAGGTTTTTGTTAGCATTTAAACGTTATAGCTGTATCACTGTTACCCTTTTGTGCAGCACTCCTTTGCATTTTGTAATGTAATGTTACGTTTATTCATATCTGAACATGTCAGTGATTGTATATATTACAACTTTTCTCTTAACTTGACATCTGAAATTGTTATATCTACAAATGTAAAATTATTATATATTTTTTTACTTTTTGATCTGCAGATATGAATCTTGTTAGTCTTACCAACTTCTCTGTTTCACCACCAATTATTGACATCTTTATTCTCAACTACCTCCCATAAACTTAATGCCTGGGCAAATTGTTTTCAGGCATTTGCATGGTTCAGCGACCTGTTGGTGGAACATGCAGAGATCTTCTGGTCCCTGTTTGCTGTAGATATGGATCAAGTTTTGGCTGAACAACCACCCGATACCTGGGACTCCTTCCCGCTCTTCCAGATACTCAATGACTACCTAAGAACAGATGGCAAGTATATTTAATAGACTCCTAGAAGTTATTAATGTTTCTTCATATTGCTACCTGATGAGACATAAACAGGAATGTTTGAATGGAAGAATACTTCCATTTCACTTGCACACACAAGCACACATACAAAAACAAAACAAACAAGCAAACACACACACACACACACATATATGTACTTATATATATATATATATATATATATATATATATATATATATATATATATATATATATATATATATATATATATATATATATATATATATATATATATATATATATATATATATATGTGTGTGTGTGTGTGTGTGTGTGTGTGTGTGTATTTACGACCAAAATATAATGAAAATAAAATAAATTTACATTTTCATATAAATAATAGCTAAATCCCAATATGTATTATAAAAAAAATTAATGTAAAAATGAAGAGCGCCTTGCGCAAAGAAGCTGCCTTGCTAATGACTTGTAAACAACAATCGGAGCTTGGCGGGCCTTTTGTTTTCACGTGTCTGGAAACGGAACAGGAGAAAGACTTTCTCAGGTTTCTTACAGCATTTTTGCATCCCTATTCAAAATGAGCAAGAGAGCAAGTGATGATAGTGTTGTTTCAAAAGCTAATAGAAAGTGTATAAGCTTAGCCGAGAAACTAGATGTGTTAAAACGATATGAAAAAAGTGGGAGGTCTGTGGATATTATATGGAGCAAGCAATGAACATATTTTCTGAAGTGGATGCATTAACAGAACAAAGCATTAAAATTTAAATAAATGCAAATGACCTCTATATAAAGATGTATACTGTAATGAGAAAAGAAAGCAGCTGTGCAAGGTTCTTTCGATAGCTTTATTATTCGAAGGCCTAAACCATCAACTTCAGCTACACCATCAAATTCAGCATCATAAGCAGCCTCAACATCAACTTCAAGTTCAGTAACAGCTTCAGCCAGAGTTGAACCGGATGATTTCATCTGAGTACAACTCGCACAATATTCATTGGTTGTCCTTATGTTTTAGACTTTACCGCCATTGGTGAATAGAATTTTAGTTTTACTTTCGTAAATATTATTTAAAACATATATGAACAGTAAATAAGTGTTGCTTTCACATTCATATGTTAAGAAATGACGATGTTTTCACGTGTACGCACTTACTGTTCATACGTTGGCGTTCCCAATCGTCTCGCTTTATTTCTTTACCATTAGTGGTTAGTTACTTCTAGTGTTCCATTTATTAACATTAAATAACATTACTGTACTTAAAACATACATACAGATATTCAGTTTTTTAAATTAAGTTCACTGCAGCTACAACCAGGGTCTTATTTTCTTCAGTTTCTTATGTAGAACCATCGTCACTCACGAAAACAATGCCATCTTGTCGCCTCGTTGTGTTTTAATATTCTACATATTATTGATGAATTGCATTGTTTATTTCACATATATAAACATTAATTCAATCAAATACATATTCAATAATAAACAATAATGAATCTTTTGTACATATTCTTAAGATAAATGACTATGTTTCCTTGAGTATGCACGTATACATTGGCGTTCCACTACCAGTCTCACTTTTTCTTTAATATCAGTGATTACTTCTAGTGTACATTAAATAACATTAATTAAAACATACATATTTTTTACATTAATTTAATTACAATAACAACCAGGGTCTTATTTTCTTCAGTTTCAGGTGGATAACTGACATTATGGATGTAAACACTGACAACAATGCCGTCTCTTATCCTCTTGTGTGTTTTAATAATCTACATAGTACAGGCATTAATGAATTGTACGTATTATTCATTTTCCATATATAAACGTTAATTCAATCTGCCGCCCTATTTTGGTGTCATTCGCAAACTTGCTTATGTCACTGCTGATCCCAGTATCTAGATCGTTTATGTAGATTATGAACAAGAGTTACATGTAATTTCCACTCCATTGTCATTGTTTCACGTTAGTTACTTTGTCGATTAAAATTGTAGTTTAATCAAATACTATACTGCTGATGTAGAATATCTGCGAGCTGAAGATCCAGGAAGCAATTGGTGAAGGCTCTCACTTGATTACTGAACACTATCGAGTTAGTATGCCAGTTACTGGCAGTAAGCTTTGATCAAAGTAAGTGTTAGTCAATCCTATCCCACAGCCACAAAATACAAATAAATTCCTCCACTGGCCCTGTTGAGATGTCAAGGTTTGTAAGGATAAGCTTTTGGTGTGATGATCCCTTGTACCCAAGAGGTTTACATCTAACAATAGCCTCAGTCACAACATTGTGAAAGGAAGACCTGAAGATGTGGGCAAGAAATCTGTGAAATTCTTTTAGGTTAAAACTAGAGGAGCTTATTGAAACCCCATTTAATGAGGTGCAGGTTCAAGTCACCAACAATTATGATGTGGTCACAGTTGTGCTGCAGGGGCAGATTGTTTGTGTTTTCTTTCAGGAAATTTATTGCATCTGTACCTTACCACTGAGGTCCGTACTGTACATTGCACACGCTAGAGTCCCTTGAATAAATTCAAAGTCTGTAGAAGCTCATAAATAGCTACATGAGTATGCTTGGTATGCACACACTTGCTGCACTGCCTATAAATACCCATAAGTTATACGACTTCTTCCTCTCTGCATTTCCCTTCTGTACGTTTATGTTCTTAGTGGTAACTAGTCACCTTTATATAGTTTTACTTGTTTTTCTTTCACACATCAAAGCCGCTAGTTTTGTATAATCAGCTAATTTCATATTCACTTGAATGATTTAAAATTTTCCACATTTGTTGGTGATACATACTGTATGTATGTGTACAGCACATAGATATTTTTTGTGTTTTATCTTTCTGGAATTGTGATAGGTAGAACTTAGTCACATCCATTTTTGGATGTTCACTTTGCCACAAAATGTCAACCAAACGGTTTGACACAGTGCTGACCCACATTGTGTTTTCGGATGAGGTTATAAGAAACAAACTGTCAAAGCTAAAGATTCACAAGAGTCCTCGCCCTGATAGGGTACACCCCAAAGTGTTGAGAGAACTGTGTAATGAGCTTGCGGACCCCCTTAAAATCATGTTTTGCAAATGCCTGGATGAGCAAAAGGTCCTCGATGACTGGAAAATGGCTTATGTGAGTCATATATTCAGGAAGGGTGATCGTCCCTCCATGAATAATTATAGACCAGTGACCCTGACTAGCATAGTCTGCAAAGTACTAGAGAGCATCGTAAGAGATGCCATGATGGTACATATACTACGAAACAACATTGTAAAGCACTGCCAACACGGTTTTATGCCAGGACAATCCTGCTTAACACAATTACTCAAGGTACTGGATGTTTGGACTCAAATTCTAGAACAAGGCGGAAATATCGACAATATATACCTAGATTTTGCCAAGGCTTTGACAGCATACCCTATGAAAAGCTGAAAATTAAACTGGAAGGGTACAAGATTTGGGGAAGTGCCCTAGTGTGGATTGGAGACTTTCTGCATGACCCCAAACGGTGTGTGGTGATAAATGGTACGAAATCATCATATGTACCCGTGACAAACGGGGTACCACAAGGCAGTGTATTGGGCTCGTTGTTGTTTGTTTGCTTCATAAATGATATGCCAGAAGCTACACACTCCTCCAAACAAATGTTTGAGGACGATGCCAAGTTATTTAGGGAAATTGACAACCAAGCAGACTGTGAAGAGCTACAGAAAGATCTCTATGAGCTTAAAGAATGGTCAGAGAAATGGCTGCTAAGATTCAATGTCACGAAGTGCAAAAGGATGCACCTGGGTTGCACCAACAGTAAGGAGACAAATCACAGGTCCCAACAGGATGAAGAGACTGCATTAATTGAAACCGAATGTGTAAAGGACCTGGGTGTGGATGTCGACAATGAACTTAAGTGAGAAGAAGGTGAATCAGGCAATGAAATTAGTAGGAACATCATAAGATACAAGAGTACAGTATACATTTTATGTACAAGAAATAGCTCCTTCTATCCTCTGGGTGATATGAAGCTGAGAGTGTGTGTGATTGCTGTACTGCACTGCACTGTACTGTACAGTACTCTGTGTGTGTGTGTGTGTGTGTGTGTGATCTAGACCCAGGTTTTATAAGGGAAAATAATTATTTTAAGCTTAGTTTAAATGTAACTAAATCTAACTTGACAATTAGTGGGAACAAGATAAAGTAAACTTACAGTAGAGATGATTGCGAGCTGTACTTGTTTAGATTGAAATAGGCCTAACCAGCTTGAGTTACCTGATGCACTATTGACAAACCACCCACGACCTCTAAACATACGTTCACCACCCACACACAATACACACCCATACTCCTAATTTTTTGTCATTTTATTGTTTCATATTACAGTACATTATCTTTATTTCTAAGTCACATTAGAGTACAGGGGGTATTAAAATAATTTTTACACAACTTTTATAAGTTCATTACCAGTAATCTGACTGCCGATGTGTGTTATGTTTTAAGTTGTGCACTTAGTTCTGATTGGCCTGAAATCAAAACAAACAACCGTGGCGATGCATTTTTGTTGAATTCCCATTAGTTTTTTTTTTTTTAATTATAAGCAAATAGGAGGGGGGAAATGAACCTCATAATAAAGATGCTTCATTTCCAGAGGCTTTGTTGCCAGAGGTATACAGTACCTGTATACAGTTTCTCGTTTAAAATTCCTGCACGAGATGCTTTATCGAAATATTTGTGGTAAGCGTTCGACTTGTCAATCTATTATTTGTTGCCATATACTGTACTGTATATTGGTCTACTATGAGGCTTATCCCTCAAGATGGCAGAGCAACCTTTACTGCCAGTACAGTACAGGTATATTTGTGGATGATAATACAGATTATGCAAATTTATTGGACCGTATCAACTTGAATGCACTTGTTTGACTCTTGTCAAATTTTTTTGCCACATCCTTATTCCACAAAGCTGTTTCATTCCATTCCAACTCTCTATCTTATACAGCACACAAAACCACATTCAGAACTTTTTTGTCAAATCTCATTTACCACCTCATATTCTTTGCCTAGAGTCAGTCATATAAAAAAAATCAAATGGATGCAGCATCAGGTAGGAATAGGAATTTAATGATTTTTTTTTGTGAAAAGTGTTGATAGAGTTTCAGGTAGTTGGCTATACAGTAGCCTCGATTAATCTTCAGTTCTTATTATTTTTTCTTTATACAGACAACCTAAAAAATGGACGATTTCACCAACATCTCAGAGAGACGTTTGCACCGATGGTAGTTCGATACGTGGACCTGATGGAATCCTCGATAGCTCAGTCCATTCACAAGGGCTTCGAGAAGGAACGGTGGGAGAATAAGGGGTTAGTATGGAGGCCGTTAGTAGACCAAACACACAAAACCAGGAAATAAGACAAGTGCCTAACACACTTGTGACACTAACTCTGTTGCTTTTTCTTGCACCACTCTCAGTTTTGCATCACTCATTCTGAAACAGCATTTTAGTAGAAATTTGTTGAAGGCAGATACATATAATGAATGAAGTACATATGTAAAATATTATAGTTTTTCAGGTACATAGACAATACAATTTATGAATATGAACAAGAGATGAAAATCAAATGAGTTTCATTATTGTAGAAAGAATTTAAGACTTGGAATTATTGATTACAGTAATATATAATTTGATTTACTACTTTATGATTATTATTTAGTTTCCAAAGTAAATAATATTCATTAAAGACAATGTAGATTAAGAGTTTTGTAATTATTGTTTGTCTGTGTACTTAAAAAAGGCATTCTGGGAAATGAGTAGTTTTTGGTCAGTGGGTTCCTAAGTTCAGGGAAAGTTTCTACACATTAGAATTTTATTTGGCAAGTATATGCAATTGCTGTTTCAGAATTTCTGGTCATTAGTTGGCAATCAGACCGTAGAACTTCATTTTCTGAATGTGTAGAATATGGCAATATCAATGTCACTAGGTGTAAATAAATTTAAAACTGATGTAGTACTATCCTCTAAAATATTTTAATCAATAATTTACTTGTCTTTCATGTTACTAAATTTACATATATGCATAAGTAAAAAAGATCTTACCGATATTTATACATTCGTCATATTCGCTATTTTAGGAAAATAATCTATAAAAGAATTAAAAATAAAAATCCCAATGGCAGTACTTTATTTCTTAAATTGTATATTGTAGAGTTGTTTTATAGATTTAAGGCAGGATGCTTGATGCAGGAATTCATTTAAGTATGAAGTTAGTCTAATATTTTCCCAAGTTTAAAGCTTCATCCACAAGAGTGCACTATGATTCACCCTTCAGGCGGGAAAGATTGCCATTCTTTGGTACTGTGGAAAAATGTTGTTCCTGTTGTCACCATAGAATGTTAAATGGTGCAGAGTATTTCCAACACAAGAGTCTCTTAATATCTCCTCTCTTTCTTTTTTTTTTCATTCTGATATCAGAGGGCCATTTGTTAATTATAATGAAAGATTGAAGTAATAGATTTAATTTTATGAATGAGTTGAGGAAGTGACTGACCTGCAAGACCGACTTTTTCATATAAGAATTTCACACTTACCTCTTCCTGCCAATTTATAACTCTACAGAGAGAAGTAAGAAGGTTTCCAGGTCCTTGGTTCCTCTTCTTGGACAAAAAATGAGTTTCCACTCTCAAAATCCTTAATTTATGATCTCTGGGCCATTATGAATGGTATGTATGACTCTAAACTAGAAGAACTCTGTATTTAGAAGTAATGAAAGTGCACCAAAGGAAATATTTCCTCAAAATGAAGAACAGGATGTGCCTTTCCTGCTTCCTAATTTCACACATCAGTCTCCTTGTTCTTTAGAAATAAAAGTTGATTCTATTGACATGCCACATAGAAATGAAATCCTCGATATCATGTGCTCTTGGTTTATTGAAAGGATGAATGGACATATTTAACTTATGAGTTAAGTGGGAAGGATATACTTTGTTTGTACAGTGGAGTCATGATAATTTGTGAGTTAGATACCTCAAAATATCATAAATTATCAAATCGTGAAATATAGTTTAATTGAATTAAATGGAAATACTGTAATTAGTTTGGTTCCAGAGGCCAATAAATATGCAAAAACTGTTCCAAAACTGCTTTAATAAATACAAAATTTTCATTGAGTCTGGTTAGTACAGAAATATCTCACTATTCGCAACCTCACTTATCTGCAATTTACTTTTAACACCCCTCTGATATTTTGAAAGCATACCCAGCTTATTTGCAAAGAGAAAGTATGGAACCCTACAGTAATATTTCAAACTGCGCGGGCTAGCCACAGCTCTCATATTCCGCTGTAAGGCCCGTTTCTTATGAGTGTTTTTTTTTCCGAGTGAGGACCTGCGTGGTTTAGAAATTAATAAAGTTCAAAAGGACCATTCACACGGAGCATGTGTGGTAAAATTCACACGTGAGGGACACTCGCCCTATGCCTATACGTACATGTAATTCCAAACCACAGTGTGGAAAATAAAATGTAGCATTTGAGAATTTTTTATATGGCAAAGTTAAATTCTAGTTTATATGTTTACTCACTTACTCACTCAGTGTTTTTTGCATTGTTTTTATGGTATTGTACAGTAGTTATTTTATTGCATCATATGAAGTGTACCTGTACAGTATATAAAAAAGATATGTTAATATAAAATAAGAAATATAAAGAGTATGGGTGTGTATGTGTGTAAAATAAACATATGTGTGGACTAGGTATGTTGCCAAGGACTGTCCCTCTACTAGGCCAAGCTCTGTTATTTTTATTTTTCAATTGGTATTTTTGGGTAGATATACATAATGTGCAAAAAAATAATAATAAAAATAAAATAAATTATTATCATAAGGTCAAAAACATAGAGAACAAACATTTCTTCCATCCACGGTAGTTGGTGTGTTATCGTGGGAGGGGTGTGCAGCATCAGGTATCTCGGCCTCCCACTACCAGCTAAGCTATGAGCTAGTGTAGTGTTGGAAAGCCTCAGCTTTTCCAGTCTCCCAGCATGTAGTTAAAACTATTGCCAACTGGCACTTCATTATTTTTTCTATTATTTTATTTATTAATATAATTTTTATTTATTCCTTGCATTTACTGTGACTACAGTACAGTACATGTGACCCTGGTCCCTAACAGCCTCGGATAATGAGGAGTGTATTAAAAAATATGTGGTGAAAGATGCCGGCTGGAATAAATCGCCACTTATTTACATTAATTCGCTAATTAATTATTCGCAGTGACTTTTAGGAACGCATCCTTTGCGATAACCGGGGCAAGTACAAAAAAGGCCATAGGATGCCTACTTAAACAATCTAGTATAGACAGTTCATGAAATAATAAGTTTGTATTGACATTTTTTTTTATCACCACACACAGTATTCTGATTTTCATAGTGCTAGCAATAAAAGCTTGCCTCATTTTGAAGACAGTCAGACCGTGTGTTGAATTAAATATTGGTAGTTATTTGTGTTGTGTTCTTTGATTCTAGTCATTTGGAAAAACCACCATCAAAGTGCTTGCAGAAGATGGTGAAGGTGCCACCCTGTTTTAAATACTATGAGAAACAGCATACAATACAGTAAAAAAAACATAATTTGTACCCGTCTAAATTCAAAATCACCCACAATTCGTAATGTTTTGCTGTTACAAAATATATATTAATTTTTTTTTAGTATTTGGTACAACTTCAAAATATGAGAGGCATATCTAAATATTATGATATACTGTACTGTACTGTATATTACTTTTTTGTAATATTTGGTAAAATTTTCAAATATGAGAGACTTTTTTGAATATACAGTATATGATGCACATGTCACATTGGGATTCGACCACCGACCGCCTGCCTGCGTGTCGGTCACAGTCAGTTTTACGTTGGTCAGTCTTGGAGTGTACATCAATGTTCTACCTTGCAAACTCCCCCCCCCCCACATGTTTTTCCGTCATTGCTCAGAGTTTGAGCCATTATATCTGAAAGCCCTGGACCAAGCACCTAAATCTTGTTACTCTACAGTAGTACTTAGAAATGTTTCAATTTTGATTTGGGCACATGACATAAAAGAACCATTGTTGTTTTTCCCTCCTGAGAAGTGTCCCTCATATTTCGTAAGGGCCAGAGCAACTATTATTTCAAATTACCATGGGTTTTTTGCTGTACTGTATTCTGTACACCTTACAGTCATCTGTATCGTATACATATTGAGCGTGGATTTTGTTTTTACAGTATTTTTTCAATAACAACAGCTTAATACACAGTGATCATATTGATATTGTTCATAATGTGTTCTAAGTAACTGATTGCCAGCTTCACACATCATTCGTATTGGATGCTCTTGGCTTGACTGTGCCATATAAGCTAAACATTAAAAATAATCTATGGCAGAATGTTACCCAAGTATATCCAGTACAAGATATTGGTGTTAAAGCTTTTATTTTGTCTGATGATACATTGCATGTTTACCTATTAATTTATCGTTCAGCCAATCAATATATAAGTAGTGCATTGATGACATGAACCATCTCAGAAGTAATTACAGATAATTTTACATGCTCATCAAAATAGGTAATATATTAGCAAGTTTTCCTTTGATCACAGAATGGGAGAAACTCGAAAATTTCCAGAGCTTTAGTACTGCATTTCACTAAATAATTGATGATCCCTATATATTTACTGGTGAATATTTCTGTTACTTTACTTTTCCCACATACTTCTGCTTACTTCACATACATCTGATTTATGTACTGTACATCCTCTATGATTGTGATAGTTTTCTGAAACATTTAGCATTCTAATTGCAATGCGCTGAAGTATCCTTTTACATCTTTTTGTTTTTACCTGATAATTCTTACTTATTTCCTTCAAAATTTATTACTTTTGATCTTATTTTGATTCTACCAATAAGAACATAATCAATCTGGTGCACTTTTAATATGCTCAATCAACCTGTACTGTAAATACTGTACCACCTAATCCACCAATTTCATATTCATGATTTGCCAACCTACAGTATGTACATTTTTGGCAATTTACATTCTGCTGAACTTTAGTACAAATATGTTTAATCCTTGCATTACTTACCTCTACCATTGTACAAAATCCTGATATACTGAAAATTACCCAAAACATCCCATAAAGTAGTTTTTAAAATGTTTTGCCGAGGGGAAATTTTAACATCATGATGTAGAAAGGTATTCAAGTTTAAAGTAAATATTTCACTTTCATAATACTGTATATATATATTTTTTGATGTCGTTGCATCACGATTTAATTAGGAAGACATCATATATAACATTCAGCTAAATTAACACTTATGATGTTTGCATGCATAATT